GCTTCGACGAACATCCAAATGATTCAACTATTATTGCTATTATTACTATTATTATTATTACCATTATTATTTACTACGTCATTTATTCACTCTCTTTTATTCCCACTCTGTCTATCCTTACATTTCGACTTAGACAGCAGCTCGTCTATAGTGGAAATTCGACTGTATCTAAACGTTCTCGAGTCACTGTCCGGTTGAAAATTGTATGCTACCACCGAATATGAGTACTGAAGCAGTTTTTCTGAAACCACGTGCACCATTCAAACTGGCTGCCTTCAACGTTCGCACATTTATGCAGGTCGGACAACAGATAGGGCTGGCTATGTCTTTAGAAAGTCTTAATATTGATGTTTGTTGTCTATCCGATACCCGTATTCAAGACTCTGGCGAAGTATTACAAATTCGATCTCCATTTGTCGCTTCAAAAAGCTTGTTTTACGTGCGCTTATCTGGGGATCCTGTGGCATCTTCGTCTGGTCTTGCTGGCGTTGGTGTCGCACTAAGCGTTAGAGCTGAGGCAGCACTAATCGATTGGATCCCCATTAACAATCGGTTATGTGCTGTTACATTAGAGAGTTCCATCAAAGTGAGAAATCGGCGTGAGAAACGATGTCTCTTCGTCATCTCCGCCTATGCCCCGACAGATTGCAGCCCAGATGCAATCAAGGATGAGTTTTACCACCAGTTATCTGTTCTTCTCCAGAAAGTGCGTTCGACAGATATTGTAGTACTAGCCGGAGACTTGAATGCTCAGGTCGGGCGTCTAGGCACAGAAGAGGGTCGTTTAGGTGGCTGATGGGGACTTGTTAGTCACAGAACAGATAACGGGGACCGTCTACTGCAACTGTGCACAGACCACAACCTGTTTCTGGCTAGCACTAACTTCCGGCACAGTCATCGCCGATGTGCCACCTGGCGTCTTCTCTCTGAATCTCAAGCCTGGACTCAGATTGATCACATCGCGATCAGCTACCGCTGGCGTGGTTGTGTACAAGACTGCCGCTCCTTTTGGAGTACCTATCTCGACTCTGATCATGCCTTGGTCTGCGCCAATCTTACCTTACTTTTCAGTGGCCAACGAAGTGACCGCCACCAAAGGATTGATGTCAGCAAGTTGGTTGCAACTCCTGTTGCAAGTAAGTATCGAATCGAGCTAGCTTCTACGCTAGCTACCATACCACCGAAAAGTATAGATGAGCGTCGGTTGCAATTGCATGACGCCATGAAAATGGCGGGTACAGTCAGTTGTGGGTTTGCGAAACGCCCCGCTTTTCAGCACTGGGTTTCTTCAGGTTCCTTACAACTCATTGAAGCCCGCCGGTCTACTCCGGGTGACCGTGAGTTTGACCAAAAACGAAGGATGTTAGGTAATGGAATTAGGCAAAGCTTGCATAAGGACCGAGAAGCCTGGTGGTCGGAGCGCGCTAATGAGCTGGAAGCAGCAGCTGCATCTGGTAATTACCGGAAGCTCTTCCAACTCATCCGAGCCACTGGCAACAAGAAGTCCGGTGTGAGCGAAACAATCTGCGAGGATGATGGGATGCCAATCACTAACATCCATCGACGTCTTGGACGATGGGCAGAATTTTTCGAAGGGCAGTTCAACTGGCCTGCTGCTCCGGCAGCACCGGTCAGACTGTACTACCCTCCATGGCCGGTGAAGACTGATTCACCAAATGAGGCGGAAGTCCGCAAGGAACTCCAACTCTTGAAGCGCTACAAATCACCTAGCCCAGATGACTTACCTCCGGCTCTTTTTAAAGATGGTGGTGACTTTCTGACTAAGGAATTGACGACATTGTTTACAAAAGTCTGGGAACTAGAGAGTGTACCAACGTCATGGAATGAGTCAATAGTTGTCCCTATCTTTAAAAAGGGTTCACGTCGTTCCTGTAACAACTATCGAGGGATAAGTCTACTTCCGATTGCGTCCAAGCTATTAGCTTCCTTCATACTTCGTAGGTTGTTCAAAACCCGAGAAAGATTGACTCGCGAGGAGCAGGCTGGGTTTTTGTTCTGGTCGAGGATGTATTGATCATATCTTCACCCTCCGCCAAATGTTAGAACACCGCCATACTTATCAAAGGCCAACAATCTTAGTGTCTCTTGACATCAGGGCTGCATTCGATTCGTTGGACAGGACTGTTCTCTGGGATTGTCTATTGAAAAAGGGTGTGCCTGAGAAGTTTATTAACATCCTAAAAGCCCTATATACAAACACCTCAGGCAGAGTGAGGGCATACAGCCACCTCTCTCCATCGTTCCATTCGAGCAGTGGGGTTAGGCAGGGTTGCCCAACCTCACCATTCCTCTTCAACTTTGCCATCGATGACATTCTGGAAACAGCTCTGATGAATGTAATTAATGGTGGTGTGGATCTGTTGCCTGGAGAAAGAATTCTCGACCTTGAGTATCCGGACGATATTGTCTTACTGTGCGATAATGCCCAAGCCACGCAATCCGCACTGAATCAGTTGGCAATCAGTGCCCGTAGGTATGGTATGTGCTTTGCACCTTCGAAATGTAAAGTACTTCTACAAGACTGGCAGGATCTCAATCCTGTACTCATCCTGGATGGTGAACAGATAGAAGTAGTCGAGAAGTTCGTGTATCTCGGTAGCTGAATAAGTTCTGGTGGGGGTGTGAGTGATGAGATTAATGCACGTATAGTGAAAGCTAGAGCGGCTTATGCCAATCTAGGCCATCTTTGGCGCCTTCGTGATGTTAGTCTGGCTGTAAAAGGCCGGATCTACAACGCGTCGGTGAGAGCAGTTTTGCTCTATGCTTGTGAAACCTGGCCTCTCCGAGTTGAGGACGTTAGACGACTCTCTGTGTTCGATCATCGCTGTCTCCGAAGGATTACTGACATTCAGTGGCAACACCATGTCAGTAATGCAGAGGTTCGGCATCGTGTGTTCGGGCACAAAGATGATAATTCAATTGGTGTCACCATCTTGAAACACCGACTTCGGTGGCTTGGACATGTTCTACGAATGTCGTCCCAGAGGATTTCACGTCGTGCATTATTTGCCGACTCTGGAACTGGTTGGAGAAAGTGGAGAGGTGGTCAGTATATGACATGGTGTCGTGGTATGAAAGAAAGCTGCAAAGGACTGGCTTGTGTCGGTCCTTCACGACTCCCTGGTTGGGGTCCGAGAGATGGTACAACACAGTGGCTAGAGACGTTATCAGATATGGCTCAGAATAGAAGCCAGTGGCGATCATGCTGTAACCTTCTTTTACTTTCCTCATAAAACGTGGTTGTATCTTTCTTAACTGAAAGATTTCTTCTGATTGTACCCTTCTGTTCCCCTACTATTACTATTATTATTACACTACCTTACACCGATCTCTTCGTTATTGTTTTTTTAAAATATTTTTTACGTTCCCCACTTTTTTCTTCTTAAATTCTCATTGTTTTGTGTGGCGCATATATATTTGGCGCAATCCTGTACCAATATATATGTGTTGAAATAAAATAATAATAATAAATAATAAGACCAGATGTTAGTGTCTTCAAGCACTGATGCCACGTTTTGGTTTGGCCACCCCTAACTTTCTCCCAATGATCCCCAACACCGGTTAGCATTGCACATCGATAGGTTGTCACTCATGATTTGTACAGGAGCTTTTCAGATTCGGAATAACAAGGGGTTGGATGAGATATCTCTGAGACCTAATGCGGAGTGAAATAAATACGAAACCCTAACCGGATGAAGCCCTGTAAAGTGTGACGCGCTACGAATTATTGTCTGAAGTTTCCTGCTCTTCCTACTCTACATTGATGAATGTTTAGGTCGCTATCATAAATACTTGCTGATAGTGTAAACATTTGGAAAATAATACGTAGTGACAATAAAAAGTTATAACTCGGGATCAATTTAGACGAATTGGTTAAATGATTCGAATGTTGGTACTTAGAAATGGACTCCAGTAAAATGAACTGATGAAGATTGGCTGTGGCAACAGTTATCAGTAAATTATTGATGAAACAGCATTGAGACATGTTCCGAAACAGAAAGATTTAGGTGAAGCCGTAAACCATGAATTGAAGACAACTATACATTATAACAGTAACTGCTAAACGGTCTTGTGTATTATGGTCACTTCGCAGTGCCTTAGAATGCTTTGAAGTTTTTCGCGTATTGTCCCACTTTATTATGGGTAGTCCATATCCAATTAAGGATGCAAATGCTCACAAATTTGTTGGAAGAGTAGGATTTAAGTTGTCAAAATGTTGTAGCCTCTCATATGGGGAGGGATTGGAGTAAGTATGTCCATCTTTCTATCTTACCGTAAAATGAGACCTAACTTGATAAAACCACTTCATTTGGGATTTTAACATGTTTTATCACTTAGTTCATTCTAGGACTAATTATCATTTAAACTATCATAAAATGGTCTTATAACTACAATCGAATAAGCTTAAGATCATTAACAAAGTAATGATTTGGTCAACAAGTGGAAAACCTTAAGGTCATATCAGTGAACGATCCCAAGGAGAAACGAATCTCCAGCGTAAAAATACCGAAATGACACACAAAGTTTGACTGAGGATTGACCAAACAATGCCAATCTTGTTTTTCCAAATATGTTTAGTATGTCATAAACCTGCCTAGCAAAGTGATAAGTACTCCGAAGCAACCAGTAGCAGAATCCAAACTAGATGTTCAAACATCGGTAATAGGTCAATATATTTATGAACGTTAGGATCCTTACGCTCATGAAATTTTAGTTTCAAAACTTATGTAACTAGAATGCCAAGTTCTATGAAACAGACAGTCAAAAAGCTCCCCCTCTGTGCGAGGGATACCTGGAAGATTATGCATTTCACCGTTAAATTACATGCTACTTAGGCTCTTTAAACTGATATCTTAAACTACTTAATGTCAAGTTAAATTGTTATGTCATGGAGCCGAACAAGTCATTCTAAGAAAAAACTCAAAAAGAAACAACTACAAAAAGTTCAATGACAGTAAGCAATGAAACATTACACCTACTTAGAAGAGCTGAAATGTAGGTCTAATGACGTCCGCTGAGAACCACATCCGGCGTATCACAACATTTGTACTCAGCGGAGCAAAATCCGCTTCATCAGATCTCAATAATGGCATCCAAATAAAAATTGTAACATTGGACAACATTTGGTTCAAAATTCCAGGGAACAGCCGAAAGTCTGGAAAATTAGTCCATTCTCACTTCGACCTCATTATTTTCCTTTGAAAAGTTTGGTTTCTATTAAGAAAGTACAGTAGTCTAGGTGGTCTGTGTTAGTCATGGATACGGTGGTCTTTCAGTTGATACAACTTTTATTTGAAAGCGTCGATAGGCGGAGTTTTATTCACTCATCGAGGCAATTAATTCCATTCGTTCATAATTCTATGAGAAATTCGATGGTCATCTGACAAGCAATTTCTTCTAGGCTTTTGAATTTTTTTACTGTGTCCTCGTAAACTTGTAGTGGCATTGGACATTAGCCACACAATCCACAAAGCTGTGAACACGAGACTACTCAGAAAATAGATATTCAATATTTAACGCGGAGAAACACCTAACAATGGAGAAGGCGCGAACATTGAATTGAATGGACTGGAGTTGATCGAGTGGCATGGCTCGGCCATGCAGGCGTTGTCTCTGCTGAATGTTATCTTATATCTTCTATTCATATTAAATATATTGTTCTTTCTCTAGCCTAACCTTGTTCTACATCATGTATTGGTAATTGATACGATACAGTGAGTTGGTGTAGTCGATGGTGTGACTTCCACGTAAGATCTTATAGATTATGCAGTCATATCATGACAAATCTACAAATTTAGGATTAGGTCTATTATTAGAGCAGTACTAATATCATAGTAGACCATAATTCTACATTGGTGAGCCCGACGTGATAAATTTCTGATGATTTCGAATCACCTGAAGCAACAATATCTATTTTTCCACTGACTAATCCTCAATCAACACTATAACTAGTTAAATTTAATAGTTTCAGAATATCGTCATAAAGCATTGTCATAACTTGACAATCACGTAATATGACTTATAAAATTAATGGAACTATTAACGAAATCGGTCAACAAATTGACTTATAATTACCATTAAATGGTGTTGTTTTCTTGGTATCTTCATTCACTACAGATGATTACAGTATGTTTCTCTATCAGATGCTCATTCAGTAAATATCTCGAAACCTTGTCAGTCTAATTGATGGTCTAGCGACACAATCATGCATGCAAATAATCAGTATAAGCAGTCGAGCAAACCTCCTGTAAACTGAAAACATCAATGTCGAATTATCAAGTGACATGGTACGAAGGAGCGATAATAATAATAATAAACTGAGGTTTGAAATATACAATATGAAGAAATCAAAAATAACAACAAAAGATATGTAAGACTCGCCGAAAAGAAAAATTGTCACTTTGAGTATATATATGAGAATATACAGTAATAATTCCAAAGGGAAAATGTTATGAGTGAATTTATTATGACTGTCAATGGATTGTTAATAATCATAATAATAATTCCAATATGAAGTTCTTTATCATACGCTTGAGGAGAATGCAGCAGACTTTGGAGGAAAATGGTGCGCGTTCTAAAGGCGGGTCACCACTATGTGGAGGCTAATGTCCTCAATATCTGACTCCAATAAATAATATCCCGTAACTGAGTATTTTAGGTAGGCTTAATCTCCTAGTAGAATTGCGAATTTACTCGAGATTATTGAGAAGCCTGAACACCAGTTATAGAGATAGTTTATTGTTAATGATTAATAAAGATCCACAAGCGTACGGTGAGCAAGCACACGATAAAACAGAGTGAGTGAGTGAGTATGTGTGTGTTTAAAATCTATATATATTTTTGAGAGTTAATCGGGTGTGGATAAATTATCGATTATCTGCACATTGAAACCCATAGGAGGATAGCTTAAAAGTTAATGTACAGACATGCATTCGATCATACACACCGAAATTAACATAGTGAATTAAGAGTCTGAGTTAAAATGAATAGATAGATGATACAGTGGCCAAATGGGCTTGCCACATATATCTCTGTTCTTCCCTGTGTTGAAAGGCTGTTTTGCATATTTTGTATACTAACAGTGTTAATTTATGTTTTAGAAACAGATAAAGTTTATCAAGCCAAATAGCATACTTGTTCTGATTTTGGCTAAACCAAGACTCTGTGCTCGACAGCCTAGAGAATAGCTTAGAGTTACACCTGTAACAAATCGCTTCCTACAAACACTTCAAAGATTCGTGGATAGCCTACTTCGAAATATGCCATTTGCACAGGAGCATGTAGACGATTAGTCAATCTCCAGTTTCGATTTACAATCACACGAACATCATGTAAGAGCAGTGTTAAAACGGCTGGATGAAAATGGAATGAACATACTTGAAAGTATGTGTATTCGGTGTCCGAACTCTAGAATTTCTCGGGCACACATTAAGCCCAGAAGTGATTACACCTGTCAAAGAAGTGGACGCTACCAAACACTACCCCAAACCTAGGAGTCTGACACCTTGACTATATATCACGGTTCAGTCTCTCTAACCTGTTGATAGCCCGTCAAAGTTGATGCGCTCTTAAAGTTCGAAAGTTGCTCATAGACGTAGCCCAAATTGACTTCAGTAAGGCTTTTGGCAAGGTTCCTCACAATCGGCTGTTATATAAGTTGTGTCGTCGGCCTATTACTATTCATGTTACCGCGAGTTATTAAAATATTTCTACACGAAATTATTCCTAATTATTCTAATCCAAGTTTGTTTACTTCTTAACTAATTCTGGTCTGAATTTCATTTTGCGCGTGTTAAGAATAAATCCAAATACTGTAAGCAAAATGGATAGTGGCTAGCAGTGGAATCCAGTAGGTGTGTCTCGTTTTATTTGGAACTCTTCGGCTGGATGTACGTGCACTTCAGAGTTGATATTCATTCTGGGACTCGAGCCCAGTACCATTTGCTTCAAATGCTTGTAGTGTGGTGTCGAGTCGCGGTTGATTATGAACACCACTGCAAGAAGACTACGTGCCAGTTAACCGATTAAATCCCTTGTAAGCCAAATATCAGAAGGCAGTTGATGGCTGTAGTCGAGATGTATTTGTTGGGGTTCCCATGGAATCGAAAGGATACAGAGATCGTGCCAAAGGAGCACAAGTGTGGTTACTGAGCCTAACCGAACTCGTGAAACGTCACAATCGAAAGACAGTGGAGCAGTAATATAGCTGTCTTTAGCACAGTTAAACAAACGAGCACAGTAAAACAATCACTGGTACAATTGGTTATAATAATGATTTTTTCCATTAAATCAATCGCGTTCTCTTGATAAAAGCAGGTCACTACACGCTATCACGTTATGCACTTAGCTACTGAGTCCTAATATCCCCTTGTTTGTGCAATGGGGTGAAGTTTAATTGACTTGACATTGCTGTACTTGAATCTTGCTATTGGTGTTTTAGGACTGGGTCTGTTCAGTCTGTTATTGGTATATGTGCATACTGTGCTTATTGCCTCCATATTGCCTCAATTTACTAGCATTATAAGCGAAGATGGATAGTGGCTAGCAGTGAAATCGAGGACGCTCGTCTCCTTTTATTTGGGACTCGTCAGCTGGATGTACCTGCATTTCAGAGTTGACGTTCACTCTGGGACTCGAAGCCGATTGCAGTCCTAAAACATCAATAGGAAGATTCTAGTAAAACAATACCAAGTCAATAAAACCAGATATTTTAGAATTACTATGTGTATTACTCTATCAGCTGCTATCGCTTTATTTCTGATTTATGTTTCATCCTATCAATACGAGGAGGATTCATATCATCCTCGGTAAACTCCGGTGCGAGACAATCCTACAAGATTTGGTATCGAACCAACGTCACATTGATTCTAGTGGGAGAGTACTGTAGTCGATTATACTGAAAAAACTCGATATGTGTTTATTGTCATTAATTCACGGCGTGAAAAGAGGACATCTAGTTGCAAATAGGCCCTATCTAGACCCAAGTTTGCAAAGTACCTTCCACTGTTTAAGATCGCTATAAGATCATCTGAAACTGATAGCGGGTAATCATATTGTTCTAGAGCAGCATATAATCCAGTTGAGAAACCTGCACAGACCAGCTTTGTACCATTTGGTTTCTTGATGACCACTGTGAAGGCTCCCTAAGATGGGAATGAATCTAGTGATAGAACACTTTGTTCTTATAGACCTTGAAATTCTGCACCAACACCTGGTAATGGTACATAAGGAACTGATCTTTTTGGCCGAAACACTGGATCAGCATTTTTTCGAGTTGATATTTCCTCTCATTGTAGTGCAATGCTGTAAACCTTCTGCAAAAAGTCCGTAAATTGATCCATGATTTTTGTGATATAATGTTGATGGTCATCTTTACTTTCAATTCTGTTGCATACGTTCCACAACAGAGTATCTTGAAGTTTGGAACTATCAAAGCAGTCTAAATCTGGTAAATTAAATTTATCGTCTGATATGTATCATATTACACTTGGAGTCATATCTTTAGATATCACTGAACATGACAGAACCCCAATAAGCTTCAGTTTATTACATGTTGCGCCCAGTAAAACTGACTTGTAGGCTTCATACTGGGCTTTCCTATTTTAGTCCACGTTTATCTGGAAAGTAAGGTTATTTCTGAAGCGGCATCTAATTTTAACCTTATAGAATGACCACTTATCAGGACTTCAACAAACTTCCTGACCGACCTTTTATGTACCGTATTTACCGTATATACGGGAAAATATTTAAATGGCTTTACACTCAATCTGTGCCTTCCTTGTAAATTTGGTTTTCGGTGTCTGTTCTGGTGTTTGCAATACGTTTCTTTGTTCAACAGTGTAACATTTCTCACAGTATTGGTTTTTAAAAGGATAAATCTTTGCAAAACGCCAGGCACAAGAATGTCATCATCTTCATGAAGGGACTTTAGATTTCTCTTTTGATGATTTTCCGTGCAATAATGTGGAAGTCTTAGAACCAGGACGGACTTTGCTTCGATCTGCTTGAACGTTGAACCTGTTTTAACCACCGGGCTGAACTGGGTTGGTGTCGTGTTTGAGGTTTATCAATCGTTTATATCCTTCTGCAATCCCCTCATGTAACAAACTGTTATTTCAGAATAAATTATTATTATTATTATTAAGTGAAGTGATGGTATCGGCAATACGTTTTTCCACGTGGATTTTAAGATAACATGTCAGTAATTGTCATGTTCTGACGTACCGAGTTTCCGTGAAAGAATACATACTTTCCACGTCCTTCGGATCTCCGTAATCAACATTAAACACATCTTTATAATAGTGAAAACAGGTGTCAAAATGCTGTGTCTGATGATGTCATATTTAAATTAGGCAGTATTGTTGATGTAGTTATCGAGCACAGATCGAGATAATGAGGTTGATGGTGGC